TGGGTTACGCCGGTCACTTGACGCAGAAGTATAAATCAGGCTTTAGTCACAGGTGAAGCTCATATGACAAGGCGACAACACTTATGGCTGTTTCTCAATATGCGTTCTTCAGCGGTCTTGCGTCCTCGTGTTCTCGTGCAACGTCATCATCAGCTGCCTAAGTTCAGTTCCAATACTCAAGACCGCAAGTACGAAGGACGCGTGAAACTTCCCGGATGTGATCTTGATATCGAGGATGCACTGATGCAGACTTGAGCACCAAACTCGCTCTGGAAGTCCCAGAAGTCATTGCGACTGGAGATGGGAAGTGCAGCATTTTATTTAGATTTATTATTAAAGTTCAGAGATATCACTTATTTACCTCAGGAGTTTCTCTAAATGAAACGATGAAAGTAAACATTAACATGAATATCTTAATAAAGGAATAAACACATTAAGGATTGTTTGTTTTCTGAAATTCGTATTAAAATTTGTTTTATTTATATTGTGCAGGGTATATTTATAATGTTTTTATGCAAAGTATATATTTTGAAGAGGGGGGAAACAATAAATCGTTGTATGAGTGCTGTTATGTTTGAATAATTTACCATTTAAAACGCGTGAAGGTCACATGACCATCAGGAAGAACGCAGCATCCCATTTCTCAAAGGACGCGTTCTCTGCCCTCGCGGTCTCCTGAGTTCATTCTTTCGAGGACACCTGGCAAGACCGGTCTCCACAAGAACGCAAGTCCGTTCTCGCGTTCTTGGAATTGAGAAACAGCCTTATGTCTTTGCAAAAATTGACTCAATGGGCTTTACAAAGCTGGGGCTACAAGAATACTTTTCATTTTGCACTGAATCATTATTACAAAAGCTGTTGAGATTAAAATGAGCCATTTCTTGTAAAAAAAAAAAAAAAAAAAACTTAATTAGAAATATATTTCAGTGACACTTAAAGTCAATTTGTACACAAGCGACAAGAGTTTTGTCAGGGACTGTATAAGAAAAAGACTCACAATGCTTTTCCTAACATGGAAAAATCAGTTTGTCTTATTGATATTATCAGGAAGTGACGGTTTTGTTCTCTTTGACTCGTGTAGAACTCAAATCATATATGCAATACTTTAGTTTTGCACACACATTTTATTTGCATCGATAATACAGTCTATGTTCCAGTTTTCATTCGATGTATTAAAGCTTGTGTTTGTGTTGTCAGGACGTGTACGCCTCCTTCTGCGAGCTGGACACTAAGGGCATGTGTTATCGCTTTGAGGTGTCGCTGTGTGGTCCTGCTATTGAGCTGCACAACTGCATGGCCAAACTGCTGTGCCATCCACTGCAGAGGCCCTTCCAGAGCCACGCGTCCTACAGTCTGCTGGAGGACGAGGACACGCTGGAGAACGAAGCCACTGTGTGAGATTTTACTCAGTAGACCCATCAAATCACCTAGATTAGGGACTGATGAACTCCAAAATGAAGGAGTGACCTGTGAATAACTGCTTTGCCTGTTATATCTGTACTATCGATGTCTCTTTTATTTCTTTAAAACTTCAGTGTCTTAATTTCCTAAAGCCGCCATAACAAATCTAAAGACAATTGTGGATGAGTTGAGTATTGGTGGTTTGATCCCAGCACAGGATCCACTAAATAATCAGCATTTAGAATGTCACCTGTAAGTGATTCATGTGTTTGTGTGGTGGAGGTTCAGAGATGAGCTTGTGGGAATGGTGCTCATTGAGATCCGTTGGTTAGTGCTAAAGGTTTGGTGGGAGCACATTTGGACAGCATCTAATAAATACGGTTTGCTTGTTATAGCCAAATAAATGAAAAGGAAATACCCTGTGGGACTCTTTTCTACACAGAAAAACACAGGGATCAATGTTACAGGGTTCACACGGTTATGGAAAACCTGGACATGGCATTTTCCAGGCCTGGAAAAGTTTTGGAAAAACCCACAAAGTTTTGGAAAACTCATGGAAATTACATTTATCATTTAGCAGACATTTTCGTCCAAAGCGATTTAAGCTGTGGTCACACTAGAGTTTGTGCTTGCAAAATTCTGTCGTATGGTCCTGCGAAAAGGGGGGGGGTTAAACAATATGATTGGACATTAATAAAAGTGAGAAACTGTTCAGTTTAGTAATAAAAATTGTTTATTTCAGTTCAGTGTGGTTTAATTTTCAATGCTGATGCATTGCAAACACGGAGGAGCAAATCCATCATTGCACAGCTCCACAAGTCTCAAACCAAGCAAGCCAGTGGCCTGCAACAAACTTCACCAATTGACGAAAGTGAAGTAAAAAAAATCCTCGAGAGAAACTAGGTTTGGGACGACAATTTTTCCTCTGGCCAACCTTCTTCGGCAGAGCTGCAGTCTAGGAGCCGGAGGCTGGAGAACGCCGGACAACCATCGTGGAGAAGCTGCAGGTGTGAGTAGGTCACCAGCAGGTGTTCCCACAGGATCAATGTGAAGACTCAACGGTCACTGGGGTCTTTCAGGAGTCTCATGCTCCCCACTCCTTTATAACCAGCATAAATCATCTGCTCAAGATATGGTACAGGATTATGGATATCTTGGCATCATCTCTTCACAGATCTTAGATCACATCAATGAGGAAGCACAACCTCTAGAGCAGGGCTGCTCAATCCTGTTCCTGGAGATCTACCTTCCTGCAAAACACACCCTGTTCAAACACACCTGAACCAATTAATTAGGACCTGAACAGCACTTGATAATTACAGGCAGGTGTGTTTGAAATGGGTAGCAACTGAAATCTGCAATAAGGTAGATCTCCAGGAACAGGGTTGAGCACCCCTGCTCACCAATCTCGGTCCTGGAGGGCTGGTGTCCCTGCGGGGTTTAGCTTCAACTTGCCTCAACACACCTGCCTGGATGTTTCAATTTAACCTAGTGAAACCTTGATTAGCTTGTTCAGGTGTGTTTGATTAAGGTTGGAGCTCAAATCTGCAGGACACCGGCCCTCCAGAAACAAGTTTGGTGAGCCCTGTTCTAGAGACCTCAGGATGAGTATCCCCCAGATGGAAATAGAGAATTGTAGAAATACAAATTGGAGGTGGCTCTATATTGTAGCTCTCTACTGTATATCTTTAAACAAAATTTGTGAAGAGGTGATAAACTCTACATTGTTAGGAATGATTACAAGGTCCTATAGAACCACACACAGTAATATGGACATGCCAGCAACATGTTTCTGGAATTTTGTTTTGTTATCATTAAGAATATGCTATATATGCCTAAAAGGCTAAACAGAACTTAGAATTACAAATGGCAGAAATAAAAATAAAAAAAAATGCAATAAAGTGTCCACAAGATGTCGCAGTCATACAGCTGAACAAAAGAGAACAGTCGTTAGTCTTTTCTTCTTCTTTTTTTAAAGTTCGTCACTTTGGTTTATTTACATCAGAGATTTTGACCTAATTGTTCGTGGTTTGTTTGGTAATTGCTTTGTTTTGATTCTTTGACCACACAAACTCATTTGAATCCGTGATTATGTATCCTGCTATTGAGCAGCTCTAAAGCTCACAGATAATAGTCGGAAGAGTATTAAGGTCATGTTTTTTTTCTCCTTTATTGTGTTAATGATCATTAACCTTTTTCACTCTGCAACCTCCTCAATTCCGAGAAGTATTTTGTTTTGGTGGTAAACAGCGCTGAAAGAAAAACCTAAATAAGATGCTAAATTCTTAGAAAGAGTCTTTAAACTCACCACTTACAAATACAGCTTCCAAAAAGCCCTATGTTGTTTGGCGTCAAGGCCACAGAAGAGCCTGTTTTTTCACTATGACCTTTTGTCTGCATGGACCCATGTACCCATGACATTCGTTTTACTCGATAGCTTGACTACTACTTCTTGTTTACCGATATTTACTTGCATGTTTCAAACCTGGATGACATTGTTTGGTTCTTGGACATTGTCAAACCAAGAGCCATAACTTTAAAGAGGACTATGATTAGAGAACACACACTTCCTGTTCTTTGCAAGTCTTCTCACAAAGTTGTACTGTTCATCAGCTTGGGAATGATGAAAAAGTTAGGGCTCTATAAAAGTTTTTCGGTGCTGATATTGCTGTGTCTGGACTTCTTATAGTTATGCCTTGCTTTACATTAATTGCACAATGACTGCATCTTCTATTTTGGTGTAATTTGTCAAAAAACGAAACAATACTTGGTAGCGCTAATGAAAGTGTGTGCAAAATTTTGACGCTGACCTGACGTCTTCCGTTGTCCTGTAATAACCACGGCTCATCTTTCTTACCCAGAGTCATCAGAGTTTGCCTTCTTTTGCAGATTCAGCTTCCTGTTTTTGTCTTCAAGCTCATCAGCAATCTGTGGCAGGATTTTGTGAGAACGTTTTAGTCAGTTTCAGAAAGCCTCTGTAAATTATTTCCGCTGAGGATGGATTGGCCAGGAGACAATGGCCTGCAGGAAAACCCCTGACTTACTTCGTGTTCCCTGTTCACACTCTCCCAGACACCGCAGTCAGCCGCGAGCGTCATCGTCAGCTCGGGATCAAACGTGCTGCCGCCTCCTGGACTTCTGGGAGAGATTGTTATTCATTCCTGCGAGGAGGATGACGACGGGTCACCATTGTTGTCCCTCCGACTCCACCGATAGTCTCTGTGGCTCTGCAGGAAACCGTGTCAGATGGGCTGTTTTGATCATGTGTGTTTATGTATCTGATCTGATCCAGGAAGAGATGCTTTTGTCCTTTGCAGGAACATTGTTTTCCTTGGCTCAAGTAGACGATCCCAGATTGACTGCTGAAATCACATTTCATTAGCACATTATTAAATATCGAGAAACAGCCACATGGACGCCAAGAACTTATTAACGCAAAGCTCTTATGAAGTAAGTGTTGTGGAGATGTGTGACGGTGGTCCAAGTTGGCTGTCAGGGTTCGATGATTTATGAGGGAAAGTAAGGGAGGAGCAATGCTTTGTTTATCTCTGGAGATCTCCACAGGTTCAGCTTGGAGTAACCTCTGGAGCTTTCCTGGGGAGGGCCCGGAAAAAGTCACGCTGCGGGAAGTGTGTCTCTGGGTTTATAAACACAGATCCCGCCCTGTGTCCTGCTAGAAGTGTTTACATCTGACTACCCACAAGTGTGACAGTGCTGCGGGGTATTTTGCTAACCTTTTGACCAGGTGCTTCATTTCACAACAAGCTCCAAGAATCAAAGTCCTCCGAAGGTTCATCTCTTTCCCACAACTGGACTGCAGATATGTACAAGAACAGCTACTCCCAGGCCACGTTCGGACTGGAGGCCAAAAAAATCCACAAGGCGAAAAAGGGGAAAAGCTGCGGCTACTACATGAGGATTGTGTTCTTCTTCTCGTCTCTGATCCAGTCGCTCATCATCGCCAGCTTGGTGCTCTTCCTCGTGTACGGACAGCCAGAGAAGACCGCCGAGGAGAAGAGGCTGGAAGACCTACAGCAGGCCTACGACACGCTCTCCAAAGACCACACCAAACTGCGAAAGGAGAAAGCCGATCTCGCTACAGCCCTCAAAACGAAGAGCGGAGAGAAGGACGCAGCAGACAAGGAGATCACGAAACTGAAAACTGACCTTAACATATCAATTGCCGGCAGCAAAAACTGGCAGAGGTTGAATGTAAGTACTCTATTTGCTTGCTTGGTATTTCGATTAACAACCTGGGATTTTGCTTGTTAAGACCTGAAACACAAGAAAGACGATAATGTGAATGTTTCCAATGTCCAATATAGCTTTCCTGGACTGTACACTGGCTTTAAAAAACTTTCTTGTGTCCTAATTGTGACGATTGAGATTTCATTTAGTGTAAACCGTCATTTTATTCCAAGATATTTTGAAGTTATTCTCATGTGATTACCGTCAAATTGTACATTTGGTGGTATATTATGGCATTTTTTAAGGCAGGGGTGTCAAACTCAATTCCTGAAGGGCCGCAACCCTGCACAGTTTAGTTCCAACCCTGCTCCAACACACTTACCTGTAGGTTTCAAACAAGCCTAAAGGACTCGATTAGTTTGATCAGGTGTGTTTAATTAGGGTTGGAACTAAACTGTGCAGAGCTGCGGCCCTTTTGGAACTGAGTTTGACACCTGTGTTTTAAGGTATATTAAAATTGTAACCCCAACAATAATGAAAGGTTTGATTTCGATTGTCTGTTTTACAGAGTCAATGCGAGGCCAATGCTAAATTGAAGCTTTCAAGCACTCGAAATACTCCCCTCATGTGTCCACCAGCTAACCCCAATCAGAGTGGTGAGTCTATAAACCAATCAATGAATAATTAATGTCACGAATAAACCATCCTGTAGGCATCTCCCTCTTTTTTCGTCTCAGGTGAAGTAAAAACTCTGAATACTCTACTGGACCAGCAGAAGGCATTGTATGGGATCCTGAAGAGTAACTTCAGCCAGACCGTGGAGTACCTTAAATCTGATTTGGACCACGCAGTGAAGGATAAAAACGAGCACCACAGCCAGGTGATAAAACTGAGACAGGAAAACAAAGATTTGAAATCTCAGCTTGATGTTTACACCAAAAAGTGCAAAGAAGACTTTGCCGACTCCCTGCAAGGCATCCAGACGGTCACAACTGCCTTCCTGAGCAAAATTGACAACTTCTTCACCAACTCGGTCACGTTTCACCTCACCTGCCCCAAGCAGGAGGAGCAGATGGACAGGATTCGCTCCAACTGCTCCAGCCTCTCTCGGCAGGTGGAGGACAAGTTCCAGAGCTACCTGAACAACGTGGGTGCCAAAGTCTCCAATATTCAGAAACAGAGCAGCTGGTTGGAGATACAGAATGAGAAGCTGACTTCAGAACTGGACAAGTGCAAAACAGAAGCGGAAAAAGAGGCGTCGGACAGCAGCAAAAAACTGCAGGACGCCCAGACGACGTGTGACAAACAACTGGAACAGCTTCTCAAAGAGCAAACCAGACTAAGAAACGCCAAAGATCTAGTAGATACCGAGCTCTCTGTGAAGGAAGCCACTATTATATCTCTGCAAAAAGGCTGCACACCACAGGTAGGGGGTTATGTAGGATTCAATAACATTAACTAGAAAACCTTTACATTTTTTTAACTATGTTTAACTGTATGTTAAATGTTGTGCAGGCCAAACCGTCTGGTTTTCAGCCTCTGGGATCAGCTGGCCAGTATCCCTCCACATCAGGTTGAGGCTCTTAACCACAAAGGGTGAGTCTTATGTCATGGGCTGAACTTTACTCACCTCAACTCTTGAGATTTGGGAAGGCTTTAGGTCTCAAACGCTGCACAACTTAGCTCCCAATCCCACCTGCTTGGACGTTTTTAGTATCCCAAAAGACCTTGAGATGATGAGGTGTGTTCAATTATTGTTGGCGCAAAACGGTTTACAGCTGTGGACCTCCAGGAATTGCTTTTGAGACCTATGACGGAGGGTGTACTGTACACCTAGGGCGTCAAATCCTACCCCTGTCCAGCCGGGATCAGCTCCGGCACATTCGCCTAGAAGTTTCGAATCTGTCTGACGACCTTACTTTACTGGTTTAATTAGGGTCCAGAAAACTAGAATGCTCATATTAAACTTTAAATATCAAGTATAACAACTGAGTGCGTCTCAATTAGCTCCATACAGGCCCGGATTGGCTAATCGGGAGAACCGGGAGAATTCCCGGTGGGCCGGTCCGTTTTTTGGCCGCGAGGGCCGGTGTCCCTAGCTGCTTGCACTCTTAGCAGTTGCACTTTTTTAATTTATTTGTTTATTTTACTATAACCTCACTCTTTTTAATCATTATTTTGCCGCAGCTCTGCTCTTTTTATTTATTTTCTCGCAGCCGCGTGAGCTAAATACAGCCTGCAGAGTAATGAGGATCATCATGCACCCCATTCCACCCCAAACAGCGGCACCTTAGTGAATATTAATGAATATTAATGAAAATCAATGAAAATCCGATGATGTACTACATTAATAAATCTTAACTTTTAATCTTAACATAACTTGATCAGAAATCTAAAATGGGGAGAAAAAAAAAAAAAAAGAGTAGACATCAATAAGAGCAGATAACATTGCAGTGCTTAGCAGCGCCATCGTGGTCTAGTGGTTAGCACGTTACGCATAGACGCAGCCGACCAGAGTTCGAACCTCACCAGAGTAATATATGTTTTTTTTCAGTGTTAAGACGTAAATACTGTTTGGGTTATTTATGTAGGAATAAATTTTTTTTGTGTGACGACTGTTACAAAGGACTGGATATCTATAAAGAATTAATGTTCTCATATTTATGAAAAACATTTGAAGTTCTAAAGCAACTGTGTCCTTGAAAAAGACGTGTTAGTGTCATTTTAATATTGTCAGTCGTTGACTGAGGTGGGCCGGTCTAAGGCTTAAAACTCCAAAGCTAAAGAGGAGTCCCGAGGTCGTGGATCAGTAGGTCGTGGACACAAATTTGAGCACTGGTAAGGACAGAGTTTCCATCGCTACAGATTGGGACACAGAGTGTGAATTGTACATCGTCAACACTGAAATTTATAAACAGCAGTAGAACTAGTATTTTTCATAAATTAACTTTACGACATTTTAAAAATAAGTTACAGCTAAATAATTTAAGTACTTCGTGATAAACCAGCAGCAATTCAAACATTACAAACAATAGATATTTGCTAGAGTGTCCTTAACCTGTCTAGCTATGTTGGTTCGTTCATTTTCGTAAAGAGGTTCATGTTAGAAAAACGTCTCTCGTTATATTTGACGATTTGGTTAACTTGATTCATGTCACGCGATTCGAACTTCCATTAGGGAACAATAGTGCTCATGGATGCGCCCTGATATTCACAATGCATTGCGAGTCTTTTAAGGGCGTGAATGTTTCAGTGCCTTTGAGACAGACTTTAAAATGGCTGACTCCCTGATCAGTGCCTTAAAAACGGGAGTGGATTGAGACACAACTCATGTCTCTCTATGTGGCACTTTGTCAAAATAACAAACAATTGCACAAATACATGGAGTACAGGTCAAATCTTGGATCATGTGGTGCTGCAAAATACTTTCCATCAAGTGACCATGCTCTTCACTGCGTCAGTTGTCTCAAAATTACAAACGTTTCGCATAGTAAATTTAAAAAATTTGCACCCACAGTAAAGCCCTTGACTCACTTACGTAGCATTTGCGTTAACGGCAGTGTTTTAAAAAGTTTTTTTTTTAATCCTGACAGTTCTCTCTCTTTTCCGTAGGTTGGGTGTGGAGAAGGAATCTGATCTGAATCTCAAGGCCGGACGCTGTGTTTCTGAGTATCTTATGTGGGAGTTTCCTGATTTTGAGCCTGTGATCTCTATTGTAAATAATGTTGTCACTGTGGATCACTGTAAATGGACATGCACTGATGTTTAGTTCACTGTATAGTTGTATTCATGGGCTGGAAACTTGCAGGACATGACGTTCTTTAGGGGTCTTAAAAGGTGCTTAAATGGGAGTAAATAACAAGACAGTTTTTCCTTCAAGCTACGCATTTAAGTTACACGTTTTATGGCACCAGTCAATATTTAATATCGATGGAATCCGATTCTTTACTGTGATGTATATAATATTGTTTTCACATTTAAAAATTGTTTCAGCGACTACATTTCATGTATCTGCTGGTCTTATTGACCTTTTTCTTAATAATTTGTTCATGTTGATATGATCGTTTTGACTAAATAAACAGACTGTTTTATTACAAATGATATTTTAGTTTCATTTTCCCCACTTACTGAAACTTGTACATAAGCGGAGTTCATACACATTTTTACTACTAATATTTTCATGACGTAATGTTTCATGTCTACACATGCATGGTAAATAATAAGAAAAACAATCACGCTTAAATTTATTACAGCATATCGCAAAACACGCAACAATCTATTTTGTTTACATTTGTTTTTATATCTATGCAAAATTGATTTTGATAATGCTCAACTAGTACTAACAATGTGAGAACAAGAAATTGGCCAAGGACAACCTAAATTTAAGTTAGGGCTGCACAATATATCGTTTCAGCATCGATATCTACGATAGTCACATTGCAGAATGTACAATGTTGGGATTATAGTTTAATATAGAGTTTAATCATAATGGAGTAAAAGCTTATCATCTGCATGCATTTTTAAAGAGATAGACTGACTTACCATTTTCATCACAACCTTACCTTGTTTTAAACATTTATGAGTTTTCTTTTTCTTTTTTTTTAAGTGAACACAAAGAGAATATAATTGAACAACTCCTATAGTATTAAACAAGTGGAGAGTGAGTTAATAGTGAGTACATTTTAATCTTTGAGTAAACTCTCCCTTTGAGGCCTGTGACTGTGTGAACATTTCAATACTTCAAATTTTAAAACATCCGGCCACAAGTCATTTTTTGTAACTTCAATAAAGATTAAATAATATACAATGAAGACTATGCAGTGTTAATTATTCAGTATTTGAATACCTGAAAACTAATATTCAATTTTATCTTCACTATATTTTATTTATCTATGCTTGTCATTTATTTGTTATATATTAGAGATTCACTCCTCTACAAAATCCTGAAATTGGTGAAATTGTATTAACATCGCAATGTATATATATAGTTGAAGTCAGAATTATTAGCCCCCCTTTGAATTTTTCTTTCTTTTATTAATATTTCTTAAATGATGTTTAACAGAGCAAGGAAATTTTCACAGTATGTCTGATAATATTTTTTCTTCTGGAGAAAGTCTTATTTGTTTTATTTCAGCTACAATAAAAGCAGTTTTTAATTTTTAAACACCATTTTAAGGTCAAATTATTATCCCCTTTAAGCTACATTTGTTTCTCGATAGTCTACAGAACAAACCATCATTATACAATAACTTGCCTAATTACCCTAATTAACCTAGTTAAGCCTTTAAATGTCACTTTAAGCTGTACAGAAGTGTCTTGAATAATATCTAGTCAAATATTATTTACTGTCATCATGGCAAAGATAAAATAAATCAGTTATTAGAAATGAGTTATTAAAACTATTATGCTTAGAAATGTGTTAAACAGAAATTAGGGGAAAAATAAACAAGACTTCAACTGTATACTTTATATGGAGAAAGGAAAACTAGTACCTGTTTAAAACTATTTAAGACCTTCAACACCATATTTCAGTAAAGACTTTTTACGACTTCGCAGAATTTATAAGGATAAGAGTGCGACAATGAAGATATATCACTCTCACAATATTTGTATGCTATTAAGAGTTGTTTTTCTTCATTTTTGCTAAAACGCAGCATATGATGTACACTACCTGACAAAAGTCTTGTCGCCTATCCAAGTTTTAGGAGCAACAAATAATAACTTGACTTCTAGTTGATCATTTGGTATCAGAAGTGGCTTATATGCAAGTCAAAGGCCTCTAGATTACGCTTATTTGACCAAAATAAAATATGATCATGCCTTTATTTTTAATGATTTAATTAGGACAGTAAGCTCACTCTTTGCTTAGACAAACGTTTTGTCGCTTCACAGAAATAATGTACAGAATATAAAGTCATGCTGCAGCAGAAAAAGAATTGATATTGTGTCTGACTCCATCATGAGCTTGGAGGACTGCATTCACACATCTCTGCAATGACTCAAATCACTGATTAATAAAGTCATCTGGAATGACAAAAAAAAGTGTTTTTGCAAGACTCCCAGAGTTTGGATTCATCTTAAATGCCTCCTCCCCCATCTTATCCCAGACATGCTCAATAATGTTCAAATCTAGTGACTAGGCAGGCCAATCCTGGAGCTCCTTCACCTTCTTTGCTTTCAGGAACTTTGATGTGGAGGCTGAAGTATGAGGAGCGCTATCCTGCTGAAGAATTTGCCCTCTCCTGTGGTTTGTAATGTAATGGGCAGCACAAATGTCTCGATACCTCAGGCTGTTGATGTGTCCATCCACTCTGCAGATCTCTTGCATGCCCCCATACTGAATGTAACCCCAAACCATGATTTTTCCTTCGCCAAACTTGACTGATTTCTGTGAGAATCTTGGGTCCATGCTGGTTCCAGTAGATCTTCTGCAGTATTAGTGAATCGTGATGCAGCTCAACAGATGATCCATCTGAAAAATCTACCTTCTGCCACTTTTCCAAATGATCAACTAGAAGTCAAGTTAATACTTGTTGCTCCTACAACTGGGAATTAATGACAGGACTTATGTCAGGAAGTGTATTTAAGGTACAGTTAAAGTAAAAAAATCGGAACAGTAAACAGTAAAACACTGAAAGAACTGATAGTTAGTGACCCCTTATATTTTCTTAATCATCAAATAAATCATAAATATATCATCTTCTTTTCTCAAAAATCACAGTTACTGCCTATTTGTCAACTACGTAAGGAATCTATATGTTCCAGGGCAGTTTTCTGACGAACACGGTGACCCCTCCACTAGTATCCTACAGTGGAGCAAAGGCCAGTGAGATTTATGGGACCCTTTTTAACCCCCAATCAGCAGAAACAACAGCACGAGCGCGTCATGAATGAGAGGAAGACAGAAGGTACAGCGAGCTGGGCAGAAAGCTCCTCGCGGCCCGATGTCGTCAAACGGGTGAAGAGTTCAGCCAGCACACATAAATATTTAAATGAATGCGGGACTGACAGGAGAACAAAGGGCCGTGGGGAGCGTTTCTGAACACCTCCTTCCTACAGTTGAACACACACAGAACATCAGTGTGTTTGAGCTTCGTGTACCCTTAAATCACAGTTCCTTCTGCCAAGGCTAGTGTGAAGCCATTGCGTTTTCAAAAGGGAACACGGAGGAAATGGAATTGTTTTAGGGGAATTTGAAACTCTGCCTACTATATGCAATCAAAAATGAGGTTTCTCTGATTACAGTGCACAGTTGTTGTTTTGAATGTTGTTTGGGCTGATCAAGTCATTCAATGAATCTTTTTCAGTTTGATCTTGAGATTTTTTTCAACATTTTTCCCCACATTTAACCCAGAAGACGATACCCACACTTTAAAAAAAATCCTGATTGCCTTAAATTTTTAAGCTGAATTAAATTAACCTTATGAGTCCATTGAACTAACTTAACTACATATTAAGTTAAACTGACCTAAAACAGCTTGAGTAACTTATAAAGTTAGAACATGATAAACTGAGGGTGCTTTCACACCTGTGAATCGGTTCAGTTGTTCCGAAACAGAGATTACAATTGTTACATTGTTGCTCTTTGCTCTTGGAGCGGTTCGCTTTCACACTGCAAAGTTTGTAATCGGACCAAAAGAGCTAAAACAAGTCACGTGTGAGTAAACTCTCCTCACATTGGTCAGAGTGTCAGGGTTTATTTTGCAGCGTCCCGCTCAGCTGTCAGGAGAGGTGGTGGTTTGGTGGTGATTGACAGGGTGCGCACACGCGATGTGTCTGAGGAGAGATGCGGTGGGGAGGGGTGAGAAAGGTGCGCGACGATGCCTATTTGAGGACCGGGAGGGAGACGCGAGATTACCAGGAGATCATCACTCATTAGCGGGCATCCGGAGACTCGTGAAACTTCCCGCCCTGCTCATAATTCTCTCTTCATATAGCCGTAAGCCTATTACATATTCATAATAATCTGTGATATAACCGCGCTCGGATCGCTTTCTCACTGCAATCCCTTAGGGCGCTTTCACACCTACACTTTTGTTTCGTAACGTGTCTCGTTTGCCCAGTTAGCGCGGTTCGTTTGGCATATGTGAACAGGGCAATCGCGCTCTGTTCCGCGCCAAAGTAATCGCTCCGAGACTGCCTGAGTGAAGGGATCTCGGTTCGATTGAAACAAACCCTGGAGCGGTTCGATTGCAGTGAGAAAGCGATCCGAGCGCGGTTATATCACAGATTATTATGAATATGTAATAGGCTTACGGCTATATGAAGAGAGAATTATGAGTATGGCGGGAAGTTTCGCGAGTCTCCGGATGCCCGCAAACGAGTGATGATCTCCTGGTAATCTCGCGTCTCCCTCCTGGTCCTCAAATAGGCATCGTCGCGCACCCTTCTCACCCCTCCCCTCCGCATCTCTCCTCAGACACATCGTGCGCCCACACCCTGTCAATCACCACCAAACCACCACCTCTCCTGACAGCTTAGCGGGACGCTGCAAAATAAACCCGACACTCTGACCAATGTGAGGAGAGTTTACTCGCACGTGACTTGTTTTAGCTCTTTTGCTCCGATTAGAAACTTTGCAGTGTGAAAGCGAAGCGCTCCAAGAGCAAAGAGCAACAATGTAACAATTGTAATCTCCATTTCGGAACAACTGAATCGATTCACAGGTGTGAAAGCACCCTCAGTTTAATAGGTTGCAATGGCCTAAAAACATATGCTCTCATGACTAATTGATCATATCATTTTTTACAGTGCACATGAGAATATACTCGAGTTATTTATAGCTAACTTTAGTACACTGTAAAAATGCTGGGTTCTACACAATCGATTTGTGTTGGGACAACATGAAGGAATTAAGTTAACTTACACTGACCCCGTTTTAGAAAGGAAATTAAGTGAAATTAAGTGATTAACTTAGAATATGTTACCGTTAAATGAGAGAAACTCTGGATTTTTTGTTTCAAAATGGCAGGTTTGTAAAACTCAAAAGGCAGGGTAAGTCAAGCCTGTTTCTGAAAGAGAGGTAACTTTGGTCCCACTTTATATTAAGTGTCCTTAACTACTATACTTACATCAAAAAAAAATAAATATAATGTACTTACTGTGTTTATAATGTATTTGAGAACACTTGTGGTGCTTTTGAGTTGGGATAGAGGTTGGGTTATGGACAGGTTTGGTGGTATGGGCAGGTTTAAGGGTAGGTTAAGGTGTAAGGGATGGTCAACAGTGTATTTACAAGTGTCATTACAAAAGTTAATTACAGATGTAATTACATACAGGTTTGAGGTCAGATTAATATATATACTGTCTGAAACGGAGACTGTTAACTTGGGAAAACAGCTGCTCAGGTTAATGCGTAAGTTTACATTTAAAATACTTACATATTTAAGTATAATAAATTTACTAATGTAATGTGTGACATTTATTGACTTTTCACTTGAAAAAGTGGGGAATTGACCGTAATTTTGAAGTTATTTCAGATGTAATTGCATTAAATTACATACAATAGGCTGCTGTTCTACAACAAATTTAAACAAGAAAACAAGAATGCAGATAACCTTAACTCAATGTTCAGTGGAAATGTTTAATTTAAGGTTCCCACTAATATACATGTCGATCAGTTATTAAGATAACATTTCTAAAATTGAGTTTTTAATAGATGTAAAAGTGCACTTGTGTGTCTGCCTTTATTATTGATCGTTTAGTAGAGGATAATATGACTTTTAGAAACCTTAAATTAAACATTTCCACTGAAAATTGAGTTAAGGTTTTTTCAAATTTGTTGTAGAACAGCAGCCTATTTTATGTAATTTAATGCAATTACATCTGAAATAACTTCAAAATTTACAGCCAATTCCCCACTTTTTTAAGTGAAAAGTCAATAAATGTCACACATTACATTAGTAAATTTATTATACTTAAATATGTAAGTATTTTAAATGTAAACTTACGCATTAAGCTGAGCAGCTGTTTTCCCAAGTTAACTGTCTCTGTTTCAGACAGTATATATATTAATCTGACCTCAAACCTTTTAAAAGTTGCGCATGTCCTGGAAACGACTTTTTTATATGACTTCAAATGTTTGTGTCTGATTTTTATTTAAAAAATGTACACCCATTTACACTGTTCTACTTCCCAATACAGAAGTCTCTGAAAATGACGTCTAATATTTCCTCAGGACTAACTCTACCAGTGATCCTGCCCAGGCTCAAGAGCCCCAAACGAAGGCCTTCAGCCGCCAGCGCCAGGTCCACATCCCTGTACTCATGATACTGCTGTAAAGCCTCAATGCTCTTCTGCAGGTGAGTCCGGTGTCGAGTCTGAGTCAGAGTCGGGCTGCCTATCAGCGGGTCACCACACCTGCAACACACACAGATCTGACTATCAGTCATGTCAAGTATGCTTTATTTCTTTATTAGCCAAAAAACCATAGATGTGACCCTGGAACAAAAAAAAACAGTCTTATTGACCTTATTCTGCAATGCAGAAGTGTGTTGGTTTTTCCAATTATTTAAGAACTTCCGATTCAGTTGCCTACGGGAGAAATGACTAGGATTAATAAACGAGAAACACTTTAAAATAATGGTCTATTAGTTCATGTTATTTAATGTACAGTTGAAGTCAGAATTATTAGCGCCCCTTTTTTTCCCCAATTTCTGTTCTGTTCTGGGAAGATTGTTTCAGCACATTTCTAAGCATAATAGGTTTAAAAACTTATTTCTAATAAAGGATTTATTTTATCTTTTCCATGATGACAGTAAATAATATTTTACTACATATTTTCAAGACACTTCTATACAGCTTAAAGTGACATTAAAAGGCTTAACTGGGTAATAAGGTGAACTAGGCCGGTTAGGGTAATTAGGCAGGTTAATGTATAACGATGGTTTGTTCTGTAGATAAATTAATAAAAAATTCGCTTAAAGGGGCTAATAATTTTGTCCCAAAAATGTTTTTTTTTTAATTAATAACTGCTTTCATTCTAGCCGAAATAAAACAAATAAGACTTTCTCCAGAAGTAAAAATATTATCAGACTAACTGTGAAAATTTCATTGCTCTGTTAAAAATCATTTGGGAAATATTTAAAAAAGAAAATAAAAATCAAAAGGGGGCTAATAATTCTGACTTCAACTGTATTTACTAACAGGAAAAAACAACCAGTAAAACATTTATTATGGTATCAGTTCACCTTTGTTAACATTAATGTTAATTAGGTTAAGTAACGTTGGCTTATGTTTACTCATAAGCACAACTTTGGGTTTTAATAATGCATTAGTAAATGTTGAACTATGATTAATAAATTCTAAAATCTAAATATAATCTAAAGGATTATTCATACTTAATGTTAGAAAATGCATAAACTAATGGACCATTATTCTACAGTGTTCCCATAAAAGGCAGAGAACCGTCAAATTACTTGCTCTACAAACAAGTGTTCATGATTATACATAAAAAGTAAAATAATATAATACAAAATCATCAGTTTGCAAGCAGGAGAATGCGCTGTCTCTAAAGTCTCAAAATCAATGGAAGTGAATGAGACGGGAAGTTTTCAACCAAAAAGATTCCAGCTGTGCCCCCTCATACTTGAAGAATAAGGTCAATATTGCAGGGGTATATTCTTAGCAATATCCAAAAATACATTGTATGGGGCAAAACTATAGATTTTTTTGTCCTTCAAATATTAAGCTATCAATTTAAATAAAAAAATATTAATTTACATATCTGCAGACCTAGTGCACATTTATTAAGCAAGAAAGTTTCATTGACTGGTTTGGCGTGCGCTGAGATGTGGCGACGACACACTTCTCTATAAATGATTTATTTTAATGTATTTTCCCCATGCTTTCCTAAGGGATATTGTACTATGTTGTGTCTGACATTTTGTGTGTTGTGAAATGACCTTTGTGCTTTTTCTGTTCTCGTCAATGTTATTGTTTATTACATTTATTACATTTCTTTAAACAAGAAATAAATAAATATATAAATATATACAGTTGAAGTCAGAATAATAAGCCCCCTGTTTATTTTTTCCCCAATTTCTGTTTAACGGAGAGAAGATTTTTTTCAACACATTTCTAAACATAATAGTTTTAATAACTCATTTCTAATAACTTATTTATTTTGTCTTTGCCATGATGACAGTAAATAATATTTTTCAAGACGCTTCTATACAGCTTAAAGTGACATTTAAAGGCTTAATTAGGTTAATTAGCTTAACTAGAAACCTAAAAACCCATTTTGAGGTCAGTATCATAAGGCCCTATATATATAAGCTATATATTTTTTCAATAATCTACAGAACAAATCATCGTTATACAATAACTTGCCTAATTAACCTAACTTGTATTATTAACCTAATTAGGCCTTTAAATGTCACTTTAAGCTGAGTACTAGTATTTTGAAAAATATCTAGATTAATATTATTTACTGTCATCATGGCAAAGATAAAATAAATAAGTTATTAGTAATTAGTTAATAAAACTATTTTGTTTAGAAATCTGTTATACAAAATCTTCTATTCATAAAAGATCCCGTGAAGTGCTGTGAAATATGCACTTTATTCGATGTTTTCGATTTGATGTACAGGTGGGTGGAACAGATTAGCTCCTCCCTTTTACAAAAACAGCCAATAGCGTTTAGTTTTTAAATCACTGCTCTGCCAGTCAGAGTGGTTGAGCTCGAGCGCATCAAATGAAAAGCAAATGAGAAGCGTCTTGAAGGGGGCGGGTCATGTCAGATGCTAGAGAGCACTTGATTGGTCAAGAATTGTCAAGAAACTTAAATATGAGGTCACATGAAATAAAGTGTTGCTCGATTTAGGCAGAGGTGACACACTGGAAGCTTCAGATGTTTATATCAGTTTTATATTTTATAAACGTGAATTTTTGGAGCACACTAGCTTATAGATATCCTTTAAACTAACAGACTGATACTAACATCTAAAAATTATATTTTAATTTCATGGGACCTCTAAACAGAAATTGGGGAATAATACAGGGGTCTAATAATTCAGGAGGGCTAATAATATAAAGAAAAAAAGTTCCAAAACCTGTAGTGCATCTACTAAAGTGATCTTTAAGCGCACTTTAAATGTATCTACTAAAAGTATCTGCAATTGCATTCATATTTCTCCAAAATCTAGATTGTTATTGTGATTATTTTTGCTATTGTTGTTATTATTTTAAGCTCATGAATGGTTGTGTAAGCGTTTCATACTGTATATCATACTGTGCATGACTAAAATAGCATTTATACTGGAATTTGAGGTGTCATCTGCATTGATCAGTTCACTCACAGGGTCTTCAGAGTGTTATGCAATAGAGTCAGGAGCTCCTCCAGGCCATCTCTGCTGTGGCAGGACAGAAAGCATGCAGAAGGAGCATCAGAGAGCTCCTGAAGGGACGTCTGGATGCTGCGCTGCTGTTCAGCAGAGACCAGGTCACTTTTGTTAAGGATCAGGATGTGCTGCTGCTGCTGAGAGGAGCGCTCCAGGATATTCTTCAAGTGTCCTCTGAGGAAAACGGGCACATGCCGGCGCTCAGAAGGAAGCTGCGTCAAGTCCACAACCACCAGAGACAGATCCGCCTGCTCCACCCTGCGGGCAGCAGAGGAAGCTCATGTCTTAAGTCTGTTTCCTGAGCCTGGTCAGCATCTTACCACCTCTGACCTCACACAAACAAAGTGGCCACTTCCTGTCTATTTTTTTTTGTGATCAGTTTTTATTATTTTTCATACACGCAGTGCTCAGCATATATGAGTACACCCCTCACAGATCTCTCTTTTACATTCAGATTTTGTAAAGGATGTTTTGAAATATGATATTTGTGTATATACATCAGATTAGTCTGTACCAAAGACAAAACTGGAAGTCATCTGAAAAATAACCTTAAAGATCACGGTCCAAAAATGTGTACACCAAAATTATTTTGTTGAAAAGTTACAAAACATTTTAAGAATAAGGAAAGGAAAGATCAAGAGAAACATTCATTCACTCATTCATTTTCCTTCAGGCTTAGTCTCTTTATTAATCAGGGGTTGCCACTGCGGAATGAACCACCAATTTATCCAGCATATGTTTTACACGGCGAATGCCCTTCCCAGCTGCAACCCAGTACTGGGAAACACCCATATACTCTCAACTCTCAAGTTTACGCCCACTTATACACGTCGGCCAATTTAGCTTATTCAATTCACCTATTTGGACTGTGCGGGAAACTGGACCACCCAGAGAAAACCCAAGTCAACACGGGAAAACATGCAAACTCCACACAGAAACACCAGCTGACCCAGCCGGAATTTGAACAACTTCTTACTGTGAGGCAAGTGTTTATAGACTTAACCTAGCAAACATCTACAACATATTTAAGGCTAAATTGTATTTATGTTATCTTCATGAAAAATAAATGATAATTGTTTTTGATCCCATATGGTAAAATTATGCAATATTAAGCAATATCTTGTAGATCCTTACTGGGTTAAATCTATAAATGCTTGTCAAAGTTGAAGGAAAATCGTCTAAAATAGGCATAAATAATAAGTTTGACTGGGCATTTATCAAGAAAAGTGAATATCAGTAAATAAACAAAATGCCAAAACAATAAATTAGCTAAAACATATTTCGAATAATTATTTTAAACATTATTTTTTCTACAAATACATTTTAAGGATATTCTGAAATGTATTTAATAGCATTTAATTTATTTATTTTAATAATTTTCATTTCTGTCAAACAATTCACAATACATTTTTGTTTATTAATGTTGAAAGTAAACATATTTTTGGTTTTAAAAGCCTCACAGTTACATTTATTAAGGATATATTTCAAATATACTATGGTCAGAAAAAATACAGTATGAGATAGGGCAGTGGCATAAAATCGGTATCAGTATTTATTGACCGAACACCATTGTCAATAACGATTTTTAAAAAAGTTTGGTATGAAGTTTCGTTATGAAGCGCTATATTTTTATTGTATGTAGCTGCTAAGAGCACGCCTTAGAAGGAATGCCAATAAGCGTAGTATAAATTTGTCATTTCTAATTATCTAATTCGCGCACATTTTCCAGGCACACCCAGTTGAAAAACATCTCAACTTTTCCCGAATGCCGAGAGCGCACCGTGATTCATGCAAGTAGAACTAACCAATCTGCTTCACACTTTGTATGGAATATACACATTTCACTAATAACAGTAGACTAATTACCTCTGACAAACACAGCGCATCCAAACACTGCAGCGCTTTTTACTTTTCTCTTTGTGTCAGAGCTGCAGCAATGGTTTGTCCATTTGTCATCCTTTGAGAAAACGGTTAATGCTCGCCTAGTTATATGAGAGACGCCAAAAGAGCGGGAGCATAAAGCGTGTAGAAAATGGTGAAGGAAACCACGCACATGACACTTCAGGCCAGAATAACAACACATGCAAAAATGAGTGTCGTATAGCAGCAGTGAGGAGAATGTAAATAAAAAAGCATGTCAGGATGTCGCCAGAGTGGCTTTTTGGTTTCTTTTCTTGTGCATCCCAGCCACGAGCTCCCCATCTGAAAGAGTATTTTTGCATAGGGGTGATGTAGTCATTCAACTTCACAATTTGTAATGTTGCAGTATGTATTTGATGGTTAGTTCTTTTACTTGAATACTCAGATTTGATTATGATAATTAGTTTGGTTTACAGAGTTTGAGGTTTACTGTATCATTATTATTGACTCTTTACAGATGTTGACCTACCTTTACCATTGCACACACTGTGTAACATTTTATTATCAAGTTGAAGAGTTTCTTTAACACTTATCTTTATTTTATTATAAAGAGATCAGATATTTTGTTTCAATATTTTTGTTTTTGACTAATAGAGCTATTTGTCCAAGTAATGTTGGTAAATTAAAATAAGGTGGTTAAATAACAAAAAAAATCGTAATATTCCTAAAAGTACTGTTAAAAATATAAAATAAAAAAAATCTGTAATTATCGCTATCGAATAACATAAAATATGATATCATGATTTTTTTTTTTTTGGAATGTCGCCCAGCCCTACTATGAGATATCCTGTTAAATCAATTTTAAACGGACTCCTCTATTACAGCAAACATTATGTAACTAAATGGTTTTGCGTTGCATAATCTGCAATGTTTACTCAATCATGAAAAATGAGACACACTCTTGCATCTAATTGTGTGAATAAACAGATCGTTTCCCCTCACAGGGTACAATGTGCAACACAAAAAACCTCTTAAGGGATATTTCCCCTCGACGGGCCATTTTTGGGATGCCAATATTTATCACTTTGGATTGTTTGCACAAAAATGCCTCTGTTTATTGTACCTTGACTTTCCCACACGTGTCCGTAAATACATACCGCTGCCGGGCGCGCCGGACGCCCTCCTGTTCCACACTGTCACTGGTGTCCCGTAGTCCTGCTGTATCACTCAGCAGCACAGGATAGCCCCCGATGTCCAGAGGGACCTCCAGTACATCTCTGGTGGTCCCGGCTGTAGGAGACACTATGGCTGCAGGACGTTGGGCTGCAGAGAGTGAAAGAACATATTTAACCCCATGTTGTCCTTCAGTACATGAATAATGATGTGTTACTATGTAAACTAAACATTACTTCATTATTAACTAATGATGAGTTAATGCATGCACTAATAATGAACTAACTTTAACTACACTAGAGTTTATGTGTGATTAAAGGCTACCTTAATTACTTGTTAGTACATGATTGTTTGTTAATGTATTTATTACCACATTAGTTTATGTTTAATTTAAACATCATGAACTCATGGTATGTTAATGTAAAACTATATCATGACTTTACTCAAAGGGGTACCTTATCAATAATCCATTCTTAACTACTCATGAACGCTTATAAGTAATGACGTTACATAATATTACCTTTCTAAAGTAGCACATGTAACTTAAAGAAATGCATTACTTTAAAAAAATGAGTAATACTATGTGAGTTACTTGTAATGTGAGTTACTTTTAGTTTTTACTTCGCTTGATTGGCTTTTACAAAATATATTGCGGAATCATGACCTTAGCCATGCAGGATGAATCACACACTCACACTGTGCTGTGAGGGAACAGACAGTCAGCTCGCACATATCATCATCAGGTCTCTCATTTCACAGCAGATAAGTCAGTGTACTGTTCTAATTGCATTACTTAGTTACTTTTATGGAAAGTAATGTTGCAATATTGAGTTACTCCCCTAAAAAGTAACTGATTGCGTTACTTTCAATAAAAAGTAACTAAGTAACGCAATTAGTTACTGTTTTAGAATGTAACTCAATGTTGTAATGCATTATTTTCTAAAGCAACTTTCCCCAGCACTGCTCATCCAGTGCATTTTCACTGAATAACAATGGAAAAGTGTTCTGTGTGGATCCTTTTTGACTCATCAACAGGATTCAACAGGAGGGTTAAAAATTACTTCAGAGGATAAGGAGAATAACATGGTACAATATCACATTTCCCCTATAAAAGCTGAGAGGTTTGGGGTCTCTAAGACATGCGTTTCTTGGACTTTGACTTCTAAGAAGTGTATAATTTCTCAGGATGGAGGGCAGAGGGTTTCTTCAAGTGACTTCTAAAAAAAAAAAAATCAAGATTGACTATATTTAAAAAGTGGTGACTGTAAGAACGCAGAAAACAACACAAAGTTCACATCCTGTAGAAACACGAGAAGCAAATATTGTGCATGTACAGGAACATACACATTTTTAGATGAGATAACCCTGGGTAACATGTTCCTAAAAATGGAGCTTAAAAATAAAGTTACAGTTCAGCACTCTTGTAGAAACAACAATGCTTCTGGATGTACTGGTAGCAGTTAATTTACCCAAGAGTATTGATATTATAAATTTATGGCTCAGTCTCTTCGCCAGAATCCATGATGGTACAAACTTTTCTTTCTTTTTTTTTTTTTTTTGCACCAGTTAATTATCCACGAGTGAATTTTAAACATTAGATCATTTTAGGTAATCATCATTTATGATCTAAACTTAGTGTTGTTTTGATTTTGACGTTAGTCAGCAAAGTTACATTTCATCGCGGGTAACACCATTTAGATCCCGTTCTTTACATCAAACACAAGTCAAAGTACTAGCAAGCACGTCAATGCCTAATGCAACAATAAAAAAAAAATTTAATCAATAATGTTAGCACATATTCCGTGACATGTCTAGGAATTCCAGGACCTATGCACAAGTTTTGGCCCTTGGCCCCCTCAAATTCACAGTGAGCCATAACAAACCTCTGGCGGCGTATTACATAAAGTTTCTAATCTCTGATTTCTTATCTTAAGTCTTAACTTAAGATGTGAAATATTCAATTAGGAGAATTAATATTACAGAGAGGGCAACACGGCGGCTCAGTGGTGGAGTGTTGCATGTTCTCCCTGTGTTGGTGTTGTCCAAGACCAAAGACAAGCGCTATAGGTGAATTGGCCAAACTAAACTGGCAGTAGTGTATGTGTGTGAATGAGTGTGTGTGGATGTTCTCCAGTACTGAGTTGCAGCTGTAAGGGCATCCGGGTCACACTTTATTTTGATGGTCCGTTTGTTGAACTTAAGTTACATTACAACTAATTCTCATTAGTTTCTAAGTAGACTGTTAGGTTGGGGTTAGTGTAAGTTGACGTACGTGGAAAGTCAGTTATAGTCAGTTAAATGTATGTTGTAGGAGGAGTATCAACAGACATTAAGCAGACAGTCTACTAATACTCAAATGGACCATCAAAATAAAGTGTTACCAGCATCCGCAGCGTAAAACATGTGCCGGATAAGTTGGCAAATCATTCCGCTGTGGCGACCCCTGATGAACAAAGGGACTAAGTCAAAGGAAAATGAATGAATGAAATATAACACACAAAAATGCTGTTCTGTAAAAACCTTTTGTACTAAATGTGGTCCTGACTGAAATTGATTATTTAACAGATATGATAAGACTTTAAAGTTAGGATCTTTCTGTAATACTCGCCCTGCATGGACCCTGTGCACTCTGTCCCCCTTTTCAACATTTCTAAAAGTAACTCATCCTGTGTCATTGATTCTACACTGTACAACTCACTTTAATAATTACTGAAACAGCCCTGTTCCTGAGCTCTGTTGTAATCTATACCGTGTGGTTAAGGTTTCCAGAGCTGCTTGGAATAGACTAAGATGCGCACCACCCTTTCTCCTGACACTTTCACAGACTCAGAGGGTCCTGTTTTGAATTTAGACCATCCCACTGTGATTTCTTCCAGTCCAGACATGGATCTGCCTTCCACCAAATTCCCCCGAATTATGTGTTCGTCCTGGCGTCTAAAATAATAACTTCTTTCTCGTCAGTCAAAATGAAATTAAGATATTAAGGGGGGAAACATGCAGGATTTTTCCCCATGTAGTGGACTTCCATGATGCTCATTGGAATGAACTTTAGCTTTAAATGGCTCAAAATGATCCCAGACAAGGAATGAAAGTTCTTGCTTAGCGATGCAATCAATCATTTTCTTACATTTGACAAGATGTAAAATAAGTCTCTGATGTCCCTAGAGTGTGTATGTGAAGTTTCAGCTTAAAATATCACACAAATAATGTTTTAGAACTCTTCGAAACTGTCCCTTTTATGCTTTGATGCTAATTCTCTCATTTTGGTAAAATGAACTCAAATGGCAGACGGCGGCTTCTCACTCAGGGCTGTTTATGCTAATGAGGGAGAGATTGTCACTTATGGGCGGGGCTTTCCCACTCTGATGACACGTACAAAGAGAGAATGTCAATCAAAGTGTTTCAGAATCATTAGAAGCCGGTTATATTCACAGACTGCTGTGTTTAAACTATAGGTGGGCATAGATTAGTTTTTATCATCTAGATTAATCTCACTGTAATCTTGAAATTAATCTAGATTAAAATGGCTTATTTGAATTTTGCCGAAGACATTCAGAATATGTGTGCTACCCAAATAATGACTAAAAGTAAGTCTTTGAGAATGGATTTCTCAAGCCAGGTGGCGCATTAGACCAGGGCCTCATCTCCTGTTTCCAAAATGCATCACAAACTGCTTGAGAAACTGTTCTACTATGATAATTGGTGATGAAAATAAATGAAGTTCACTATGATGTGCTTGTGTTTACAAAGTGTTTATTCAGTAAACATGAATTTTGAACTGTCGGCCTACATAAGCTCAAAACAGTGATTTTTGATTACCTTAATCCGACTAAAGTCACAACTGAACTAAACAGAAATGGAATTAAGACATGTGGAGTATGCAGATATTAGTGGCATTATTGAAGTAAACACTCCAATCAAACTATTACCGTCATTTAGGTCTTTGCGCCATATTTTCAGACAAAATCCACACACGCGGCTGTCAGTAAAGGGCCGCACACACGCACAAACACATCGCGAAATGCAGAAGTTTCTTTCTTTCCATTCATCGTGCGTTATTAAATTCCATAACACTCTCACCAGTCCTTCCTCCTTATTTGCATCTAATACACCAGTTTGTTACGGGGGCATGAATGAAATGTTCATAAGTGAATGTGAAACTGCCGAACTGCAGTTAAAGTCGCCCAAAATTACAGGAAACTCTTACATGAAAGCACTTCATGTAAACCCCTTAATAATATTATTGTCTATTACAGATGTCCATGTAAACGTAATCAGTACTGTCTTCGAAGTAAGTGATCCAGAAGGGCGTCTTGCTGATTTGATTCAAAAGGGCACTATTTTGTCAGACGGCTCACTGGTCAGGTATACATCCGCGATAAAATATCAAAGTGAAAGTCATTAAAGCTTGCATAGAATAGACCCAGCTCCCAACTCAACTTTGAAAATAGATTAACAGCGATTTTTTTTTTTAATCGCCCAATAAGAGTCTTGCGTTAACGTTAATGGACCGTTACTAGTTTAAACCCTTTTCAAAACTGATTTTTGCCTAATAGGTCTCCTTTAATTTAAGGAATGCAATTTTTAGCCACAAAACTCATCTAGCATTATAAGTCTGCATGTTATCTGCAATAATTCTGCTTCTTTTCATAGACAAAATAAAGTCAAAAATACATTACTAGCTACTGTTAACTGATTGTCGTGGGTTGTTTTTTTTATTTCATGGGTTAAAAATTTGACTTAATGCATCTATTATATTTATATGGCTGTGTTGGAATATTTTACACTAGCAAATGAATATTATACCATTGATTAAATCTGTGCTATAACCAAAAATAACCGCTTTAAACCAGTGCAGTGCCTTGCAGGGTTTTTTTTCCTGAGCGGATGAAAGTTGCAGAAACATTTGACTGGTTTATTGTGTAAACGCGTTCTATTTTTTGCCATTCTGGTATAGACTGGTATTAAAGTATGCTTCCATATGTCCACTGGAAGGAAGAGGCCAGTTTCACTCAAGTGCTCTTTGTGTGAACTTCCTTAAAGAGTTCAGAAACCTTATCAATTATCAAATGTAAACCTCAGAATCTTCCAGTTACTTCTCTGCAAATGTCACTTCTTCTAAGCTAAGGCACAATTATTGAATTCTCCTTCAGTTTTTAGCATACATCTTAACTGAATTATCAAAATGCCTAATTAAACTCAGACTGTTCAGGAAGTGACAGCACAGAATGGCTATTGCAGAGCCCACCACTGTAAGCCGGAGCGCAAACAATAACAGGCCTGATGAATGTGGGGTAATTCAGGGCAGGAAGTTCTGTGATATCCAAACATCCCCCTCTGCTACTGGAGAGGCCAGAGGTCAGAGATAAACGTCATTAAGGGCCGTACGGTGTCACTTTATGAGTGTGCATGAAAATATGTACATCTATCACCAGCATTAACCTTCTGTCCTAGGACAATGAGACACGGTTGGCTCTAAAATCTGTTTAACCACCTTTAAGTAAAAATACGAGATTCTTACACAGCGGAATTCTGATTTGGAGCAGTGTGGGAAAATGAACAAAGGAAGTTTAAGCAGCAGCAGAACAGGAGAAACAATACGTCTTAAAGTTTAAAAAGCTAATCAATATTGTTTTCGTTGCATATATGGATTTCTTTGGTTGTTATCAACATCAGGTCAACAGCACCTTTAAAAATGGTGACTTGTTGAATGCTTAATTCCCCCACTGTAAATTATGATTTAATTATTTGTTATGTGTTTATTTTTTAAAACTGAAATACAATCATTTATGTGATGTATATCTGAGTGAAATGAGTTCTAGCATGAAAAATTGAGAGATAAAGTCCTGATTTTATCCGCCAGGACTCCCAGATGTTGTCAGACTTGCCAGAGAGAAAGTAATTTTAATTAAAAGATTATAAGGAATCATACATTACAACAATAATAAATAAAAATAATAATAAATTCTGCATGCACTGTTCCATGAAAATAAGAACTGTAAATATGGACTTCATTATGACTTTAACTCGGTCACGATACATCTGTTCTAGTCACAAACAGCTGGAAAAACAATGCTAAATGCAATAAAAACTAAATTGCTGCATAGTTTAAGCAAATAAAAGTCCTTTAGGGAGGAAAAAACACTTCCCATATCCTTTATTTTGACATCAAAGGCTGGCCAAATCACGCCAATGCCAACACGGCTGCAAAACATGACCTTAACCTTAAAAACCATGAACCATGAAAACAAAGAGAACTATACAACAAAAATACAATATAAATAAATTAATATAAAGATAATAATTACCATAAATATACATTATTACTCATTAAATATATGCATACTATATACATATATTTAACCTTAATACATAAATAGATTTCAATAGATTTCACTGTGATTTTCTTTTTTTAATAATAGTCTTCTATTTGGTCTCCACACAATATCAAGTGTAAAGCATAGACAGATCTGAAGTTCTGAGGCCTCATGTATCAAAGCTGCGTACGCCAGGTTTCACGCTCATAATCGCTCACGTTTGGATTTACTAACAATGAACTGAACGTGGGAATGTGCGCAGCTCCACGCCAGCTTTATGGCTGGCGTATGCACATTTTTTGTGCGTGTCTGTTTTATTTCCATTGGCGACTCCTAGAGGCAGTTGTGTTAAATTACTCTCTACAAAGTGTCTGAGCCTTGCAATGGCAGCTGTATGAGACGGGTTCATCTAGCAGGTATATAAGGTTTCCATACCATACAGTTGACCAGCTAAACATTAAAGCACAATTTGCAGCAGTCGCCTGTTTTCCCAATGTAATCTGAGCGATCTACCGCACGCACATTGCAATAAAGACACTATCTGAAGATTTGCATGCGTGAATCAGAAACATTTCCATTCAATAAATGTGCAAATAAAATTGATGCACAAACGTATTAATGATTCCTACTTGTCTTTCTCGTGATAAATAGTAGGCAAAATCTGATATGTAGCGGGGGAAAAAAGAAGAAAGAGTTCATCAGATGCTGGATTCGAACCGAGTTCATGCTTGAACGTGTCAAAACATATTGACATGCGTCTTACGAGCTGCGCCACTGAGACTGTTATAAGTACTGCAACATTTTACACCTATAAATTACACTATTTCTTTTTTAATTCACTCAGTGCGATGTTCAGACCATAGACTGTAAAATATATGGACGTAGTATCCGTGACATCACCCATAGGTTTCTGAAGAGCGCAAAAGAAGCCACAAGTAGGCGCGGCCAACCGTCGCCATTTTGGTCACGCGTCATCACACCCACGGCGGGATACCAAACATGGGCAAAGAGGCGGAGAGTGAGCGGAGCTACAGACACCTGCTGGCATTTAGCTTGGACCTGGTTCAGACACACTTTACTTTGGGAGAACACTTAATACTTTATCACCTGTGACTCGTTTGTATTCTGACCACTTGTGCTTTGTTGTACACTATATTAATAAAGTGTTTAGACTTTTAAAAACACTGTAGTAATACATTGAGCCACTAAACATTGTTCTTATGACGTTTTTCAACAGGAGGAAAACGCAAATTACTTCCAAACACTTCAGATATAGTCTGTGTTAGTTAATGTTAGACTATTGATGAAATCCAGCATAACATTGTATGACAACGCTTCAGATGACTGTTCTAGAGCCTACAGCTAATCAATACGTCAGATTCTGGAGTGCATTACAGCTCTAAATATAAATATAAACGATAAATGATCTTAAATAAAACAAATACATGTATAGAGATGGTATATAAGTATATAACTTTACTCACATGGGAAACGGAGGCCACGTGAATGGTTTGTGAGCACAATTAAGTTCACTCAGCATCCCATGCCATCTAATAATTGTAGGAAACAAGTTCAAAAGGCAGTTGACTGTGTAAAGCCACATAAAACAACACAGAAATATGATAAATATGCCGAGTTCAGTGGCTAATCTGCCGGATTCAGCTGAGGTGACGTGACGGCGACCAACGAGACCTAGCTGTCACTCAAGTGGCCACGCCCTTAATTATGCAAACTTAATATAACTTAATATAAAGGAAACTGATGAGTTATAAAAAAAATTCACCCCCCTCACAGTTGTCATGAAGGGTGATATTACCTGTATTAACCAAAATCTTTTTTGTACCAGGCTGTAAACACCTTTTTTTCTGCTGTAAAGTTTGCCATTCTAACAGTTGGCTCAATTAAAATTTGCTCTGTTTTGGAGCCAGGAGCGGCCAGGACTAGCGGAATTTTGGATGAATTGCAGTTTTAGTTACTTCCGTATTGGCTTCCTGAGGGAGAGCGGGAGGTTGCCGCTTGGTTCAGAACCAACTGTGTTAACCGCATCAGCTAAACTTTCCCACTCTATTTTTTTCTTTTGTTGTTAATTCCGGAGAACAAACTTGCAAATAACACCGCTTTTCTCCGGTCTACCTCCGAAAGCAGCGCCTCCAATTCACATTCTGTTCAAAGTTTCTCTTTTTGCTTGCTTTTGCCGTTGCTTTATCGTTGGGTTTTGCCAAAGTAGAGTCATTAGCATATTCATACAGGGGAGGAAGCAGGGAGGGGTTTTGTGCTCGTGCATGTTGTGCTCAGTTTCACGTTCATTCGGATGTACAAAAGAATATGCGTGAGATTCGGCGTACGCAGTGTTTCATACATCTGATTTTTTTTCTGCGTACGCACATTTACAGCTTTGTGCGTACGCAATGTTTTAGTAAGATTTCCACGCAAGTCTTCGTACATGAGGCCCCTGGTCTGTATGAGTCTGGGATTTTTGTGTGACATGGTATTTGATGTAAAATTTCATGTAACTGTATTTTTTGTCACAAAGACAAAGGGATTAATCTTACTGAGCAGGTTGAGTAGGCTGCTTTTGCCAGCGTTGGTGCTTCCAGCGATGACCACATGAACCCCGCTGCGCAGACGCTCTCCTCTGCGCTCATCCGAGAGGTGGTTTTCCATGTCCGTCTGCAGCTGCTGAACGGCTCTGTCCACTGCAGATAAAACACTCAGACTTCACAAACTACATCCAGAGACCTCTTCACACTCAGAGTTATTATTGATGTTGCAATAATGAAATGTAAAAATTGAAATGAATAGTGACAGAACGGCTTCATCTTTAAATATAACTGTATTTGTGACTTTGCGATGTTTACTAAGTATTTTTGGCTCATTACGACCTTCAGAAAATGAAGTTTGAAGTTTGTTTAAACTACTTATTTAGCCCTTATGTGCTGTTGGGGATGTGCATGTTGGCCCTTTGTCATCAATTCTGTTGATCATTTTTATGCGCAGACGATGTTGTTCTGTTGGCTTCAACGAACATGGATCTTCAGCATGCACTGGGACAGTTTGCTGCCATGTGTGATGAGGCTGAGATGACAATCAGCACCTCCAACTCTGAGGCCATAGTGCTCCACCGGAAAAAGGTGGTTTGTCATCTCCAAGATGGAGTAAAGTCCTTACCCCAGGTGGAGGAGTTCAAGTATCTTAGGGTTTTGTTCACGAGTAAGGGGAGGATGGAGCGTGAGATTAACAGGCGGATTAGTGCAGGGGCAGCAGTAATGCAGTCGATGTATCGGTCCAATGTGGTAAAAAAGGAACTGAGCCGAAAGACAAAGCTCTCGATTTACCAGTCAATCTATGTTCCTACTCTTACCTTCGGTCCGAAAGGTAAAGATCTCATATACAAGCTGCGAAATGAGTTTCCTTCACAGGGTGGCAGGGCACATCGTTATAGATAGAGTGAGGAGCTCTATCACTGGGGAGGAGTTCGAAGTAGAGCTGCTGCTCCTCCACATCGAGAGAAGTCAGCTGAGGTAGCTCGGGCATCTGTTTCAGATGCCTCCCCAAGGCCTTCTCCAGGCATGTCCCACCGGGAGGAGCCTCGAGCGAGACCCAGGACATGCTGGAGAGACTATGTTTGTGAGGATGCAGATGTTTGATCACAGTAAGGTGATACCCTGTTTATGGTTATGTCTGTCGGCTGGCCTGGGAGAGCCTCGGGATCCACTGGAGGAAATGGAAGAAGTGTCTGAGGTGAGGGAAGTCTGGGGTTCTCTGCCCCCGCGACACAGCCCCGGAAAAAGCAGATGAAATTGAATGAATAAATGAATGCTGTCGCTGATGCTTTCATCCACTCAGTGGTGATTATAAGTCTTTATTTGGCCATAGCTTTTTCTGTGTTTCAGCTGACAGAATGATTTTGGTGACAAATCTTATATTTTGAGAAAATGCTTTGAATAAAATAACAATCAACAGATTTACTACCATTTCATTATTTTTGGGAAGACAGCATCCACTAATCTAAAAATGCATCAGATAAATATATATATTTTTTTCTTTTGCATAAGTGAACTTCAGTCCACATTTACTGTTTATATTGAAATAGATCATTTTCTGTGTTTTATTTTCACCAAATCAGTGACATCATTTGTAAACTTAGCAATTAAAAAGTTAAAATCCTGTAATGTTTTAAAACATTGGTAGTTTTACAGTCTTTCTCAGTCGCTTTGGTGCATTTCTCACAACACTATTTACATTTGCACAACAGGTCATGCATTTCTCAAAACTGTTAGTCATTTGTGCACATCCTAATAGCAGTTTCTCATTGCTTTCAACAAATTGCGAATGCTTTCGGACATGCATCAATTGCTTTCATACAACTCTCTGCTGTTTATAACATTATCATCTGCTTATGTCATGTCAGTCACAATGAACTAAACTTGTAAATGCTGAATAGTCATTCCATATAAAACGAATAGTCCTCATTTCATTACTTGAGTCATAACATACAAAAATGTTAAACTTGATGTCAAAATGTCAAGCAAACTTTATAAAAAAAATTTTTAAACTTTATTTTCCTGAAAATGTCTGTAAAATTTAACAATTTGATAAATGATTTACAGACCTGTGTATTTTGCAGGTTCAGGTCCAATATGTACTGCAAAATTGCTTACAGTCGTGCACAGTTCAACCCAAAGGGAGTTTATGTTTGTTGTAAATAAGAGTGTGTTTATTATTTTGCACAATGCTGTGAATAAAGTAGGATTGTAAAGAGCAAATGCAGAATAAAAATGTGAAACATACATATTCAGTGTCTTGTACTCAGATACCTCACTAAATGCAGTGATGTCTAACTTTAGTGTAGTTTTTAAATGGCTATGCAAATAGTATATAGTGCTGTCTTGAGCATTTTCAGGACGTGTCGCCAACATCTGACTTTTTTGCATTGAAAAAATGTCCAGTGTAAACTCATAATGAAAACATGACAAAGCCATTTGACTATCCTGTTCATAAACAATGGTGTCAGCACTTTTTATTTTGATGATACTGACACTTTGATTGACATGAATACTTGCTTTTGAGGAATGAACTATCCATTTTGAGCATGTGACGTGCTTTTGCAGGTTATCAGCTAGGTTTTGCAGTTTGCACTAATTGTTTTGAGAAATGCATTAACTGTTGTGCAGAAATGCATTGGTGTTGTGAAAAACGCACCAAAGCTACTGAGAAAAACTGTAAATAGGACTTAGGTTGTTTAACAGATTTATGCAAAAAAACATTTACAAATATTTATCTGATGCATTTTTAGAGCAGTTTAATTCAGTGGATGTTTTCATCCTAAACATCACAAAAGGGTAGTACATTTGAACAGTGCACGAGGGTTAAAATGAGCTGAAACAACATAATTTTGGAGGTTTTTTGGGACAACATCATTGTTTTTACAAATGCAAGTGTATTGCACATAAAACAATTACGTTTTCCCATCCAAAAAACTCAAGATTTGTTTTGTTCCAGCTCATTATAAATAAGTAGTCCAACTTAATTGCAAAACTTTTTTTTTTCAGTGTATACAACTCCCTCAAGTACCTGTATTCTGGTTTATTTCAGAAAATTCCAAAGCACACTTCAGCTTTTTTTAAAAACTGAAGAAAATAATCACATAAGCGTCACATCATAAAAAATAAACAATATAATTCAGTTCAAAAAACATATTTTGTCAGTTTAATTACTCAAATTGGTTCACGAATCATGCTGCAATGATTCATTTGTGAACTGGATCGATCCATTTGCATTTGTTCTTGAATTAACAACTCACTTTCCTTTCACTTAGTACCTGATTTATCCAGCCTGATCTCACGAGGAAACATAAGTATTTTAAGTCTTGTCAGTTTAGTGGCTAAATCGTACGAATTCGTTCAAGTTCAGTCGTATGAAAATGTACGATTTTAAAAAAGGAGGTGTGGCACCCAACCCCACCCCTAACCGTCATTGGGTTATGAGCAAATCGTACTAAATTGTACCAATTAGATCGTACAAATTCATACTAACTAGTCACTGAATCAAAAAGTTACGAATTGCTGTGAGATTGCATTGGATTTATCAGGGGTTGCCACAGCAGAATGAACTATTAATTACTCTGGGATATATATAATTTTTAGGGGCGAATGCTCTTCCAGCTGAATCAACAACAATCAATGAATATATATCTAATTAACAATTCACTGAATTCACACGCATGATTTAAAATGAGAATATTTATTCAGATTGTGAATGAAAATCATATTTAGGCCCCAATGGTCAGCTCTTTGTGAACAGAATTTGCTGTAAATATATTAAAATGTTAAACCTACTGTCATGTTCATACTTGAGAAGTACTAGTTTATCTTTTTAAAGACATCAAATAAAAGTAACAAATAAAAGCCCATGCACTATATAATGACTAGCGTCTGTTTGTGTGTTTATTTGTGAATACAAATTAGGTTATATTTATTTTTGCATATGGGTTTATGATGTATCTGTCATTTTTACTCGATTGCGATGTTGAAAAGTCTCTAAATGTCATTAAGCTAATTCTCGGTAACAAAAAAATATTTACTGCCAAATAAATACACCTTCAACTATCAGTACTTTTACTTTTAAACACTTTAGTACACAAAAAAAGTACTTGTACATTTTTGAAAGTAAAATGGAAAAGCAGCACCTCAAGTGGTTTTATCTTATATTAGGGTATCTTTACTTCATACTTTTAATTTGTGGCTTTAGCAGACTAATCGTCTATCAGTGGAGAGGAAAATCTATTTTTCATTACCGTTCCAGCCTGTGTGTAACTCTCAGAGGAAGGAGATTGCCTGTGACAGACTTGTTCCTTGACGCACAATGAAACCCTCAAATCTCCAGAGACAGACACTCTAATTTAGATATAACACCCAAACATCTGAATAAAGCTGTACAAGTGATGGCACTGGAGATGCAGTGTCTTTAAGGAACTACAAATGTGTCTCATGTTGGCTTCTGAGTGTGCCTTTGAAAGATTTTGATCTCTGAACAGCTGCTGTGGTTTTTCTGGGGTCAATAACAACAGGAAAGCCTCACAAAATCTGATGTGGATGAATGTGATTTTAGTGATCCGCAGAGGACGCGTACCGTCATTCAAGACTCCATCCTCTATGAGTTCATCCTCACTGAAGTCGATGAATGCCTCCACGTGAGCCAAGCACTATGAACAACACACACAAAAACACACACATAAAAAACAACCTCCAGAGAATGTTGTTTGGAGATTTACTGATGTTAGGAAAATTTAATAAACTGAATCTAGAAGTTAAAGTGAAAGCTTTGAGGAAACCTGTAACCATTGACTTCCATAGTAGAAAAAAAACTATTGACGTTACAGGTTTCCATTTTTTTCCACTTTTGTTCAACAGAAGAAAGAAACTCATAAATGTTTGGAACCACTTAAGGCAGAGTTAATGAGTACATTTTAGTTTTTGGGTGAACTATGCCTTTAAGAAAGTAATTTTCTTTACCTTTGGCACCAGTAAGACTTTTTTTTTTAGAAACTTCAGATAGTACCCATTAAATGACTCGAAAATAACAGAAATACAACTCTGCAGTTACAAAAATGTTTAAAACTTAATACAAAAAAAATTACGCTTTCCATAAAACATTAATCAAAGACTTCTGAAAGATCATGTGACACTGCAGATGGATAGATAGATGGATGGGGGGAGAGATGGATGGATGAATATATGGTTAGATGAATAGACAGACAGACAGACAGACAGACAGACAGACAGACAGACAGACAGACAGACAGACAGACAGACAGACAGACAGACAGACAGACAGACAGACAGACAGACAGACAGACAGACAGACAGACAGACAGACAGACAGACAGACAGATAGATAGATAGATAGATAGATAGATAGATAGATAGATAGATAGATAGATAGATAGATAGATAGTCAGAAAGATAGACAGACAGACAGATAAATAGACAGACAGACAGGACAGACAGACGGATGTACAGATAAACAGACAGACAGACGGATGGACAGACAGATAGACAGAAGAATCGACAGACAGATAGACGGACGGACGGACGGACAGACAGATAGACAGATAGACAGATAGATAGATAGATAGATAGATAGATAGATAGATAGATAGATAGATAGATAGATAGATAGATAGATAGATAGATAGATAGATAGATAGATAGATAGTCAGAAAGATAGACAGACAGACAGATAAATAGACAGACAGACAGACAGGACAGACAGACGGATGTACAGATAAACAGACAGACAGACGGATGGACAGACAGATAGACAGAAGAATCGACAGACAGATAGATAAATGGACGGACGGACGGACGGACGGACAGACAGACAGACAGACAGATAGATAGATAGATAGATAGATAGATATATATATATCAAGAGATATTGCATATTGCTAGCAACACAAACTTGAAATTGTGTGAAAAGCTGAAGTTCTCATCTTTTCTCTGTTTATATTTAGCGTCTAAAAATCAAAGCTCCCTACAAAACCTTTTCAGGACATCTGATAATGTGTTTGTGACCGAAAACAGCTCCTTCCAGGCGTCTTTACACAAACCATGCGCTAACATCACACTGGTCCTGAGGGCTGTGAAGGCTTGGCGCAGACCCAGCTCAGGATGTCCTGTCTCCTGTTCTCCGCTCCTCACTGACTCAAGCAATCAGCACGCTCTCGCAAACAATAGATGGACAGAGGGACGACAAGGCCCAGTAAAGCAGTAAATTCTGCAATTATTTAAAAGGCCCTAAATAAAAGAATAACCTCCTCATATAAACACACTTACAACAAGTACTCGTTTATGTCACATTAACAGCCAATTCAGACTCTTGAACTCTCACTAAGAAGGAAACCCTGACTTTCCGCTCACCAAAGAGCAGGAATTGATCTGAACTTGTTAAAGTGAAGCTGTCCAGATCTCTATAAATGCCCATAGACCATATATATATATACAAATGAAGAGGTCAAAGCCGGAGTAAGGGCCTACTCACACTATGCTTTCCAAACCATGCCCAGGCCCGTTTCCCGGATCGTTTGAGAAGTGTGACTGCACTGATTCAGGCTCAAGCACGGTTCACTTGGCTGGCCCTGGCCTGGTTGGAAGAGGTGTGCCTGAGCGCGGTTCACTTGGGCTTTGGCGCGGTACGCTTGTGTGTGGGTGCAAAATGTCCCTAAGCCCAAAACTTAAAGCAAGACGTGACTTTTAAGGGGCTGTTTCATATGTGTTTATTAATCATTCTTACTGTTTTAATGAACGCAAACTGTCAAAGTTTATTATAGATGCAAACTCGTCACTGCATCACAGCTGCGCCTTCAGCAAACCTCCTCCTAATACCTGCAGCACGAGGACTTTAAGATTGTTTATGAGCGTCAAAAGTGGCGGATCAGTTTGGCGAAATATTTGAAAGCGTGTCAAAGCATCCCAAACGACTAAAACTTTATAGCTAAAGACATCTCCACTGTGCTGAGCGAGAGCACTTCTCTACTGAACCGCAGCTGGCTCTCTGCAACTCTCACATGGTCGCCCACTGAAGCTAAGCAGGGCTGCCCGATCAGTACCTTGATGGGAGACCACAAAGCTAGGTTGCTGCCGGAAGTGGTGTTAGTGAGGCCAGCAGGGGGCGCCCATCCTGCGGTCAGTGTGGGTCCTAATGCCCCAGTATAGTGACGGGGACTCTATACTGCTCAGTGAGCGCCGTCTTTCGGATGAGACGTTAAACCCAGGTCCTGACTCTCTGTGGTCATTAAAAATCCCAGGATGTCCTTCGAAAAAGAGTAGGGGTTTAACCCCGGCAACCTTGGCCTCTGTCCATCATGGCCTCCTAACCTTCCCCATATCATAATTGGCTTAATCACTCCGTCTCCTCTCCACCAATCAGCTGGTGTGTGGTGTGCGGTCTGGTGCAAAATGGCTGCCGTTGCGTCATCCAGGTGGATGCTGCACACTGGTGGTGAATGAAGAGATTCCCCCTATGTGTAAAGCGATTTGAGTGCCCAGAAAAGCGCTATATAAATATAAGTAATTATTATTATTATTATTATTAATAGTCCATCATCGATGACGTAAGCGTGCTCAGGCCCGAATGTAATGCAAGTGCGGGCCGTCGGGGGAGACAGGAGGGGGGACAAGTATGCTTTGGCCCAGTTCAAGGCAACTGTACATAGTGCGAGTACGTCCTAATTCAGAGTACAAAAGTACCACATTCTTCATTACAAACTTCGCTCACAAAACACTAAACCAGTTTTTTTTTTTTTTTTTTTTTTTTTGTAGCACTGAATCTCATCTGTTAGAAAACTATCAAACACAGACATACACTAAACAAGTTCTACAATGTACAGGTATACACTGTATCATCTATCTGGAATTTCCTGTCCCCTTATAGATAGGGGCAGTGCTATGGTTTGATGATGGGATGAAATGCTGGCCACGTCCGAAATCGCCTACTACTCTAGTATGTGAACTTGAATTTCCTACACGACTGTTAGGAAAGTACTTTCTATACAGTATGAATGTGAGTGGTAAGGATGAAATATGAATGTACTGCAAAAATAAACAGGTAAAAAGGGACCTATTAGGCCATTTTTTCCAGATGTAAAACAAGTCTCTGATGTTCCTAGAGTGTGTATGTAAAGTTTCAGCACAAAATACCACACAAATAATGTTTTATAACTCTTTAAGACTGCCGCTTTTCAGGCTTTGATCCTAATTGTGCCATTTTGGTGACTGTCGCTTTAAATTCAAATGAGACTGTGCTCCCAGCCCTTTTTTTCAAAAGAGGGCGGAGCTACAAATGCATATGTTTCAGCATAGTGGCAGATTCAAAAACAAGAGTAACATCCTATGCTAATGAGGAAGAGATCATCACTAATGGGCGGGGCTTTCCTCCCACTGATATGTACAAATAGAGAATGTCAATCTAAATGTTTCTGCAGACATAATTAGATATAATCATCTAATGAATACATTTTAACTATTGTAAGCTGGTTATATTCACACACTGTTGCCACAGAACTGTGTTTAAACCCCTTATTGAAGTGATTTTTGCATAATAGGTCCCCTTTAATGCTATTTAGATTGACAAAAGAATATTTTGGCTTGCACAAAGATCAGATCGTAAAGTATAGGGGAACAATATGAGTTATTACCGATCAGTCTATTACTCACTCGTTTAAGCTGATCTGTCCAGTCCTGGTAGATGCGGCCCAGGTCTCCTGCCATCTGCCGGAGCGCCTGTCGTCTCTGTGCTTCTGTCTCAGCATGGATCAGATCACTAAGACCTTCAACTTCAGTAAGATCCAACTTTCCAGCGTAAAACGCCCGTCGGGTGAACTCACCTGCCTCTGCTGGCCGCAAGCCAGGCAAACTCCCTGAAACACACACAAACAAGGACACACTTATATACAAACACTTGAAGAGCATCTCTTCCACAACACTGCCTAAAATGTTTAATCATATTTAAACATAACTTCAGAGTCAAAAAGTGTGTTATGCTTTATTAACAAGAACTAGCATATGTAGTTTGATTTGACGGTATCACTTTATTTTGAGGGTGCCATTGCACATTTTGTTGACTAAAAGTTGCATTGCAACTACTTGCCAATTACTTCTCATTTGAGTATCAGTACACATTGTTGCCAACAATTTCCAATGAAAAGTACTTAAAGCCTGCCTGAAAAGAAGCTAAATGTTGCCAGATGACGTCACACACTAATTTGCATATCAGTGACATCATCAGATGGTATCTGACAAATGTGAGCCCGTCATGTCTCTTCTCTCTGAGGCTCCGTGTATTATATTATATCAAAACATTACATCCAGATGCACAATGAATAGGTTTTTATTAACATATTACTTTGTGGGATGATATCATTGCGTAATCGCAACTCAAAACTACATCTCTGTGTAGTATACAAAATAATGTTTTCTCACACTGGTCATCGCAGCAAAAACATTATTTGAAATCTGCCCTTTAGATTTGTATGAAAAATAGAGTTGACTATTTGTAAAATACAAACACTTTTTGATAAGAATTTTATATTTTTAACTATAAAACTGCTAATAAATAGTTCCATTCTTTTAAACAATCCCAGCTTGTGTACTTACTCTTTATACCTTGTCAAATGAACACATTTGTGAAAGTGACAACAAATTTAGCACTACTGGAATTTATTGCTTCCTAAATTACCAACAATTATACATGTTAACAAATACCAGTAAATTAACAGTTATGAAAAACAATCTGAGCCAGCGATTTACTCTTTTAAAATTGCTAAAAGTAGCCAAATGAATGTTGAAAATTGCTAAATTTCTTGCTAGGTGTTTTTTGAAAAAAAAGTTGCTAGGGTAATATGAAAAGTTGCTAAATCTAGCAACAAAATTGCCAAGTTGGCAACACTGTTAGAAGACTGTCTGCTTAATATCTACTGATACTGCTCCTTTAACAGACATTTAACTGACTATAAAAAACTTTGCAAGAACATGTCCACTCACACACCTTAACCCCAACCTAACTGTCTACTTATAATCTAATGGGAATTAGCTAGCATGTTGATAAATGTAACTTAAATTCAACAAAATGTGTTAAAGGGACCATCAAAATAAAGTGATACCGATTTGACAACAAAAGCATTTCCCATGCCATGGATTAAACAAGTAAAAAAATAGTGCTGGGTAAAAATGAATCGTGATTGATCAACTAATTGTGAATCGAGATTAAGTTTAACTGTGTGTACTGTGTATTTTTAATATGCATATATAAATACACACATGCACATATATATATATATATATATATATATATATATATATATATATATATATATATATATATATATATATATATATATATATATATATATATATATATAATTTATTTGAGAAAATGCTTTTTTACATCGAGTAAGTAATGTACATGATACAAATTATATATACATTTAAATATCTATGCAATAAAATTGTTTTGTGTCTATGCATGTGTGTGTATCACATTATGTCAACACAAATTTTTAATTTGGATGTGACTAATCGTGATAATTCTTTGCCCAGCACTAAAAAAATAAAACAAAAGGGAGGAGAGGGTACCTAATCATCAATTTACATCTAAATATATTCTACATAGATCAAATTTTTCATAAAGAGATGTTTACTTTTTGTAAACTTGCATTTGTAAATGTGTACTTGTGTAATTGTGTATTGTAAACTGTACTGTGTAATTATATTGTAAATAATACAATTAAATTTATAACAAAAGCAGCATATTTTAAAGAGTGATCCTTTAATACAGCACAAAATCAAAAATGTTTTAAAAAGATTTAGAGCAATTAAACTTCCACATTATTGTTTATTATTATATGATGTGCAACTGCTTCAATAAAGCACAAAAATGCTATTTTACATGAGTAAATACATCAGCTGAAGAAACAAAAGCTAAACATTTGAAAGCCCAAAACAGATGCTACCATCTAGTGCTCAAACGATGAATCGTCAAAAGGCTGTGATCAGCTGCAGTCATGTATTTCTGATGATTTAATAAACATTTAAATAGAATTTATAGACAATACTGTACTTTATTCAATTACAATTTTGGATCAAAGAGGTTTAAACATACCAAGTGCCTGCAAGACCCCGCTGATGACAGCAGGACCACCGTGAATGTGGAATTCTGCACTGTCCTCTCCAGTGAAACTAGCGGGACCTGAGAGAGTGAAACAGGTCAGATGGTTCAATAGCTCGTTTAAACATTGTGGTTTATTCAGTAGAAACATCTATAAAATCTTTTTCTTTAATTATTACTTTTATTCAGCAATGAAGCATTCAAATCAATCGAGAGGGGTCTGGATGCAGACCTTGTGCAGATGCAATCTGAGCTGCATGCAATGCTTTTTTAACGGGCTCCACCCCTAACAGTGAAGTCACTAGCTCCATTGAGTGCAATGTGTCTGACATTTTATTATTACTATAACCTTTATTTTACTATGAAAAGCACATTGAGATTAAAAATCTGATTTACAAGAGCATCCTTGCCAAGTTTTGGCAGAATAATGTTCACATAGGTTTAACAAACAAAAACAAATAACAAGTAACAATTATCCATCAAAACACACATACAATGAAAGATAAAAACTATTCTGCACATTTACAGGCCAATGTTTCAAACTCCAAATCATTTAAAATCTTTTTAAAAGCATGTAGTGAAATCAACTCTTTAAACTGCAACCTAGTTTGGAAGTTGCAAAAGGTGCTGCATATTTAAAAGACTGGAGCATTGGCTTCTGAAAATGCAGATTTAGAATTATGGGAAACAATTATTTTTTTTAACATTTTATTGTTAAAGGGGCAAATGAATGACATTTATGCAATGATATTTAACAAAAATACACTTGTTCTACATTTAACTTGATGATATAATTGAGTTAAGGAGCCTAAATCACCTGGAAACCATAGGACCAGGCCGCGGTCCAGCAGCTCTTTGCTCTGCGGGTGGCTGATGCTGCGGAGGCTGGCAGTTCGAGGCGCAGGGAGGCTTCGGGTCAGACGGCGAACAGCGAGCGCTGAAGCCGGACCGCTGACCCGGACCACCGCCACCCCACACTTGCCCTGACCCGACGACAAGGAGTAGATAGTGTCATCCCCAGGCCAGCCAGAACAAAACAGCCTTTTCACTAAAAGAGACCTGCCAAAGAAAGAAGCAGTCATGTATGATGTAGCTATTACTGTAACCGAAAGCTAAGTGCTTATGAATGGAAAAAGACCTTGAGACAGCAATTGAGACAGTACTTCTCCTCAAACAACAACTTATAAAATGCATGGTAATGGGCTCTATGGAATGATGTACAGGTTTATTGTACAAATCATTGTTAAACGCTTATTATAAAGCCGTTGGGAGTAACGAGCGCTCCACGTGAGTTTAAAAAGAAATGTTGTAGGTGGTTTGTTGTGACCCCTTTTAGGCTAATTTCATTGGTCCGCGTCGTCCGACGTCCGCGCAAATTGGCCTGTGATTCGCCAGCTTAACTGTCAATCAAGTAAATCGCTCCTCTTGTGCGTCCTTCAACTCTGCCCGTGTAGTACTAACACAAGGGTGTTCGTGTGGTTCGAAAGAGCCACCCCTACTGGTAAAAGGTCCAGTATTGCCCTAAACAGTGTCTTCTTTTAACTGCTATGCCATCATAAATTGAGAAAATAACCCATCAAAGAAGTCTTCCAATGAATTCAAACAATTATTTTTCATGAGTCCAACGTGCAGCTGCGCAAGAAAATACAATATGATGATAGTAAAGTCATATTTCACTATAAGTATAGCCCAACTTTTATTCTGAATCTTGTACCAAAAAATACCAGTAAAAAGGTTTGAAGCATCAAAAGCGGCCCACATTAAAGTTAATTTTATTACTAATTAGGTTGTTTTTGTTATCCTTAAACTTTTGATATGTACTTTTCAACAAAAGAGACTAGAAAAATCGTCAAGCTCTACATTATTAATATTATTATGTTTTTATAATTCAGAAGACAAAATTCTGACGGTAAGTCACTGGCTATTTTGTTATTTGCCCAACAAATGTCCATAGGCTATTTTTTTTAAACTTCAACTACTTTTTTTTTCTAATAATATGTAATGTAATAACTTTGTTTATTAAAAAAAAAAGTACTTTTTCATATTTCTATATTTTTCTTTATTCTATACATTTAGCAAACGTTTTTGGTACATTAAATCAGTGGTTATGATGACCACCCAAGCTAATCCAGCTAAAAAAAAATAGTGCTTGAAACTTCACTAAAATGCAGTATTTAATAATTAAATCAAAAACATAAAGCGACAAAAAACCTGGAAAAAAACCCACCCTTTTTCACTAAAAATGATATTGGAACAAAAACATGTTATAAAGTAATAACATGTTTGTTGACTTTTATAGCATGGTCTATAGATTACATTAAATTAATAGATCACTTAGGAATAGCTAAATTTTAAGTTTTGTACAATTATTAGCGTATGCCAAGTGTGACACTATCAGTTGAGATGCTGAATTAAATATGTGTACATTTTAAAATAAGCTGTCAAAAAACAGAGCTAAAAATAAGTTACTTTAACTATGTATTTCCCCTGACTGGTTTAAAAAAGTTATAACGTCAGGTTTAGTTCCTACAATGTTGACCTGTCCCACATATACACATTTGCATTGCTAACACACAGAAATACATAATAAAATAAATGTAGTGCTTACGAATGCAGAATGAAGCAAACTCAAGCTTGAATTTAGAGTTTTGTTCTCATCTTCCACTGCATTTATCTCTATGGAGATCCTGCAGGGTCTCCTAGTGGCAATAATCATAAAGTGCCCCCTTCTGATATTTTTAACACAAGGGGTCAGCAGAGACATTTAATAAAATGTATGATCTGCACTGTAATTTTTAAACTAGTCTATAATAATTATAAATTTACATTTTTAGAAATTGTGTAAAAACTATCATTTTTATTCATGAAATCCAATAATTTAAATAAGATGCAAAGAAACTGTTTATGTTTTGTTATACTCAAACTGAAGGATTAAAGAACATTTAGAAAATGCAAAGTGGATAATCTTGATTCACCTTGATTTCTGGATCTATTTTTTTATATATTACAATATTAATTAAACACATAGTATTAATATAATATGAATCACATAGCAATATCACTGTTGAATCTTGTGAAGTATCCTGAAGGATTCTGTTAAACCAATCTGACAGGCCTATTATGCTCTTTTGTTCAAAGAGGCACAATAGATCACCCTCAGATTTAAGCGCTCTGAAATATTCAACTGGGAAGATATTTTTTGCATTAATTAATAAATAATAGCCTGCTTCATCAGGCTGTTTCTCGTTTTAGTCCCATAGAAATATAGAGTGGGGATTTATCCAGATAGACATAGTTGTGCAATGTTGTGAAGATTCTAGGTTGGAAATAAACCCTAAAATCTGACTTACTGAGAAACAGATTGTAATTTTATTATTAATTACTATTATAATTATATACATTTTTCCTTTTATATTCTATTTTCTTCTCTATCTTTGGTACTTCTAAAAAAATTTAGTCAACTTCAGGTGGTTTTAAGTTTTTTTTTTATTGAGATATTAATTGCAGCATTACAGAAAATATTACAACATCTCTAGTTAGTTTTTTTTTTTTTTTTTGTAAAAAAAAAAAAGAATTCAACAAATAAAATAACACACAATAAAGCATAATTAGGACAGACCCAGAATACAATTTTCAAAAAACACAAAACACCTAACCCCTAAAACCCACCCCACTCCATGGGACTAAAGCTTATGCAGTACTGGTGTGTCCTTCACCATCTGGGTATTCAATACGCTTTCAAGATAGAGGAGAAGAGGAGACCAAACTTTGTCAAATTTTTTCAATTTCTTTGCCGTAAGAAATCTGATCCTTTCCAAATGTGCTAATTTAGTTAATACTTCCAGCCAAGATCTAAATGATGGGGATTCTGTTGATTTCCGAAACCTTTGCCATAATAAGGCTGTAGGACAACAGTTGTTTTTGGAAGTCCTCACTGTAAAAAATTTCCAGGTTTTCACAACAAGTTACTGTAATTTTTCACAGTAAATTACATTAGTATCCCTTCACAGTATTTAACTGAAAAATTCACAGTAATATGTTGTATTCATAATTTTATTGTGAAATTACGGCAGGTAGCATGATTACAGCAAATTACTGTGAAAAGGGCTATATCTTTTGCACGTTAGTTATAGAAATTCAAACCTTTTTTAAACTCAACGTAGAAATTAATACAAATGAACTTTTAACAGATAATAACAGAATGTTATAGCCCCCAAAACGATTTGGTTACCAACATCTTTTTGATTGTACTGCACCTTTATTTAATTTTATACAGTTAACATAGAATAGGAAATAGTATTTAATGAACATAACTGTGTGCTTAGCCAAAACATAATAAACTGGAATAAAAAGTAATTAATTAATGAAACCAAAGACTGTTAAACAGCCAACAATTATTTCAATGTCAGGGTAAATGTCTGCTTTAGACGGTTTCATGAGTATTGGGCACCTGTCATCGCCTGGAGGTCACTAATCTCAGAAATACATATATATATATATAAATTATTATTTTTTTATCTATATAAATAAACCACAGATTAGAGTTTTAAACAACTACATTCTAGCATGAAAAACAGTTAAAACTTCATTTTCGGACGCATATAGAGCCATCGAAGACGGGGCAATTGTCCCAATGTCTAGCCTGAAGACAGGCGCCTCTCGGCGGATACATGAGTAAAGAGCGCCGTTACCGCCTGGAGGTCATAGATCTCCGCTACCGGCAAAACACACTTAAAATTACACACAATTTTTACTAACAGTCCACAGATTTGAGTTTTGAAGAACTACATTCTCGCATGAAAAAGTGTTAAAACTTTATTTCATTACATATTACAAGCAATATTTATAATATTATGTGCCTTCTCATCCACCATTACAGCTTGATGCAGCTTGGTGCGAAATGAATCCTGGGAGGAAAAAATAATAATTCTCAATACACTCCAAACGAACTTTATTCTTATTGTTAAAGTCAGAGATATGTAATATTTTGAATGGCTAAGAAAATAATTAACTTTATATTTCAATCAATATATTACTCTTGCACTGCTTCGGTTCAGGACTCGTGTGACATTGAATCAGATTCAGATATTTTATCAGACGTGTTCATGAGCTCTTAGTCATCAACAAGCAATTCGTGTACAAGCAGTACACGGACCAAGCAATATGATGAAATATTAATGAATTATATGTTTGCGTCTTACAATATTATACAAAACGGAATCGTTTTCAGGCGAATTCGACTCTTTACTGTTCACTTAAAGGAGCCGAATTCGACTCTTTACTGTTCACTTAAAGGAGCCGATTCATTGAACAGAACTGACTCGACTCGACCGCAAACAAGCGCCATCACCACAGACAACGCCGTCGTCTCTTCACCCAACGGATTCATCCTCGGTAAGTGTTAAAATATGACTTTTGTCCGTTAAATGATTGTTGTATGTGTATTTCTGTATAGTGCATGTCATTTAACAGGAATTTACCGAGTACTTTAGTTGTACTCGCACGGACAGGGTTTAAGCGCGCCTTTTTTTAAAGCAAGAAATTAACGACGCCAGATGGTGATTGTAGTGTTTTCTGAGGTATTAGCATAACGTTAACGTTAGTTCCTGAAAAAAGAAAGGGAATTTTCTTTAATTGACTTCTTGTTAACTGCATTTTCTGTTTCAGTACAAGACTGAAGTAAAGGTGAAATGACTATAACGTTAAGGTAAGCTCTGACCTTCACTTAAGTTAACGTTACGGTTAGTGACCATCATGTAACTGTTATGTTAATTTTGTTCACTGTAACGTTAACGTTAAGTTAGTTAAATAAACTAAACTCATTATGAAACAAGTCTTAACTGTTTTATTAAATGAGGCTTATAATACAATTCAGTTGTATTCTTTTAAACTAACACTAACACAGTACATATTGTATATTTCTCACTGGTGTTAATGCAGTGCTAACATTTACTAATGAGAACTAATTGTATATTGTCACTAACTGTAGATTTTATTTTTTGGTGTTCAGGTGTACCTGATAATAGCTAAAGTGTGAGGTGAGTGTAAATTCTGAGCACACAAATATAACCTAAATTCATTATCACAATCTAAACCTATATATATATATAGAGTGTGTGCGTGTGTTAGGTTGAGTCTTATTCTACTCTTATTATATTCATTTTTTTTTTTACAGCCACTGATGTTGAAACACTGATGCTACCAATCAACCCTCGCTTGATTATTAAAGGTAATGTTGATGCCTTCCTCATTTTTATTAGATTTTTAAATGTCAGGTTTTTCACAGATTTGTTGTGAGCAGTTTCTTG